CTTTCCTCTCGGGACAAACGTAGTGAAAGGGGGAACACCACACTGACATACTTACAACTTTGATTCTAGTCAAGATAAGTTTGCACATCAAACTTTTTGAATACTAACCAAGAAGAAGTTTTTAATAATATTTCATTAAACAGGATTATCATCGTTCTCTGTCTCCTATGAAACATGGCATACAGGTCAAGGTAACCTACATTTGGATGCAAGCCGCACACCCAAGTTACATGATTGTAGGTAAACTGGTATCTGAGAACTAAGATTGGACGTGGACCGCATGGACGCCGAGGATACTCAAACAGTTCACCTTACTTCCTATAAATACTCATCTCATATTCAGTTTTCTGTTTTGTCAGTTAAAATAATTGTAAAGTACACTATAAAAACGGCGTTTGCAGTTCTGGAAGAGGTTGGAAGAGTTTCAACAAATTCGTCTGTTTTCTGAACTTTCCGTTTCTATAAAGCAACATGTATTTCCACATGGCGTCCACATTTCACAATTGATAATTTACACAAGGGCATGCGTGCTGTACATGTAAAGGAATGATAGATAGAGGAATATCTTTATCAAATAAGATATTTAAAAAGAGTTACGGAAAATAAACTTTAATATCCTCACTTAAAAATCTTATGGTCGTCTTCACGATTTGGTTGAGCATTATAGAATTTCCATTTCATAAATGGTTATGGATGTGTTCCCAATGTCGTAGCCCTAGTCCATCCTTCTTATACCAGTCAAGTTTCAGTGATTCCTTATATATAATCAACAATTTGTTTCCCAGAGAACTGCTTGTCCCTTGAACATGTTGATTGTACGAGATTTCACAGTGACTTTGATATGCTTCCGGCTTTTTATGGGGGGGGGGGGGGGGGGCGCTAACTGTCCTAAGGGAGGCCGCTCTAGTCATGCTTCAGTGATTTCTTATATGATCAACCAAGTGTTTCCCACGAAAGGGGGGTCCGGGTCTCCCAAGACCCTCCGCCCCTGGATCCGCCTATGGAAGTTCTAGAGAAGGTAAATGTATTTACTTGAGAGTGCCACTTATTGTTATATCAAACTACATATGAAATAAAAGCGTTTCTCAGTGTTGTCAAAATTAAGTGATTTTAAACAAACAAGCAAACAAAAAAAGCACCCACAAAAAAATTGAACAACAAAATACGTGTAAACTAATGTACCCAGATATGATATTTTGCTTATTTATTTCTTTGATCCATAATATATAAAAGCCTGAGTACAGTTGAAGCTATTATGAAAGTCTGTTGTTAGTCGCGCTAAATTCATTAAAAATCTTCAGAAATGGAATATTCCTCTCAAGGTTTTATTTGACAGTATACATTTCTGATGTGTATTTTGTTAAACAAATGAGTTAATTTGTCCATTTTATGCTTTAGGTTTTATTGTTGCTAAAAAAACGAGAGTTAAATCCGGAACAGAAAACCGGAATCCGAGCCAACGAGGAAGAAAATTACCTTCTCGGTTCTCATTGGTCATTGAAAAGAGAAATCATTTTAATAACAATGAATTTCATTGGCAGGTTGTATTAATGTTGGTAAACAAAAATATTAACGATTTGCATAAAGAATTCTGTATATACGTTAATTGAATTTCGTATATACGTAAATCGAATTTCGTATATACATAATTATTTCTGTATATACGTTATTATTTTCGTATATACATAATTATTTCTGTATATACGTAATTCGATTTACGTATATACGTTATTATTTCTGTATATACAGAATTCGATTTACGTATATACGTAAATCGAATTCCGTATATACAGAAATAATTATGTATATACGGAAATAAGTATTTTTGACCCTGATTCCGCGCCATAACAATGGTCAAGGAGTGAAAGATTATTAAGGCGTTTCTAACCAGACGTTTATGTTTCAATCGATAAGGCTATCTGTACATGTGTGATGTGCTGAATTGGTGAAAATTGGTCTTTCAAGGGTGTGATTCAATACAAGGATTAATATATAGTATATATCTTGCTATATAAGTCCTTGTTCTATCTAAACTTACTGTTGACTTAAGATTTTTCACGAGAATTCTCGTTGTGAATTTTTTGGAAAATTATAAAAAGTAACAAGACGAGCGGAAACGGAAAGAGAGAGAACTTCTATTATAGTCAATATAATAACAACACTGACACCGAGTAACCTTTTACAAAGATAAAAGACATATAATTATAAGAAATGTTCTTTCAAATTAGCAAATTTTCTTTACAAGGGATTTAGAAAAATATATATTGCTATCGTTGGAAAAGAAGCTTGACTGGAGTTATTTGACACTCAGGAATATAATTTGCGTATTTCCTATGATAATTAGAGAAAACATTAGACTTAGCTGTCTTTAGTGGATTGTCACAATTAATTCCTGATTAATTACAGTATTACTTAACTACGATTAAAGGTGTATAGTCTACATAATTTTGGTAAAGGAATATGTGCATACGTTAAAGTGCGTCAATTTGATATGAATACCATGTATGGCGGAATGCACAATTAAATTTCTAATGAAAACAAAAAGAACATATACCTTATCGAAGTATACGAAAGTCTAATTTAATCATAACGAATCTAGTGAGCATTATTGAAGACAGTTTTATTGATAATACAATTTAAACACAAAGAACGTACATTTTGGAAGAACACAGTACATTCAATATAATAGACGTATTTACACTTGTATGCAAATTTGTCCGCCATTACGTAAAATCACACAGGTTCCCGTAAACTTTGACATCATAATTCAAAACATTTGACGTCACAATTAAAAAGTGATTGTTGCCTGACGTCAAAAGGTGATTCGGAGTAGATCTAAGGCCATTCGGAGGCAAAATATAGCTAAATACCAAAAGTGTAAATACGTTTATAAAGAACGCATTGATCACACCGTCGTCGAGAACGCAACGACCAGTACGTCACTGAAAACGTATAAATACCAGAACGCCATTGAAAACGCAAAGACCACAACGTCATTGAGAACGCAAAGATCTTAACGTCATTGAGAATGCAACAAACGTCATTACGAACGCAAAGACCACAGCGTTATTGAGAACACAAAGACCACAACGTTGGGAACACAAAGACCACAACTCATTGAGAACGCACTGAAAACTATGTGCAACACAACCTTAATGTACATAATTGGAGCTTATAATTCTAGTAGAAACTATCATGATGTTTATGATTTTGATACACATTTGATTTCGGCTAGTGAACTGTATAGTACGAGTGTGAGTTATGTAAATGTCCAAGGTGAATTGTCACATGACACATACGCACACACTAGTATATATTTGATACTGATGCTCGTTGGTATTATAATTATAATCGGTTGCAGTGTGTTTGTTGTGAAAATTTTAACGAACATGATAATTCGAAAAACCTAAGTATCAAAATTCACGTGCATATATATCCACAGACACTTAATTGTCTCTGAAATTAATTGCTTTCCTTTGTATTAAGGTATATATATAGGGGAACAAATATTTTCAGAGACTTTTTTTTAAGTGCCTTTGTGCATAGCCATGTCAACTTTATTTGGGTACACACGAAACATTCATTATTGGACAATCGTTTTATACAATGAATACATTTAAGTGTTGATAAACCACGTTTAATTATTTGTTTGTTTTTGTTGGTTTTTTTTAATCCAGGAATGTTCGACTCTGACCGAAACAGTGAGTGAGGTCTCTCTTTTGTTTATTGTTTTATCAGCTCTTCAACGTTTGTATTAGGTGTTTGATATATTCGATAATTATTTCTTCCTCGAGCATCACTGAAGAGAAATCGATTGCCAAGATTATTATTTTCCTTTAAATTTTAAGAAGTACAAATGATCGTTAACGAAGGAATGGCAAAGGCTTTTGCGAAAAACTAATTTTTGATAAAAAAAATCTTAAAGTGGATTTACACTTGACACTATACACCTCGATCCATAACTGTAATATGATTCGGTGAAATTTTGACCAATGAAATTAATGTATCCCTCTTAATTGTTCAGGCTTTTTGCCGGCCGAAATGAAAATGTTTAATTTCTATTTTGAGTCTCTGTAAACACTGTGACGTATGGGAGTCAAATCAATGAAATGTACACTCCATAAAAGGTCTCAGTAAAACTTCAACACCAATGAAATGGAAAGATACAACATAAAAGTAAACTATTCCGTTTGTCATAAATTTTAGCATATGGAGAGCCATTTCAATTGATATTTTATAGTGTGTCTTTCTATGTTGTGATGTTACACTATTGTTTCAGATAAGGGTGAAGGTTTGGTACCATTAAAACGTTTAAACTCGCTGCAATTGTTTGCACCTGTCCTATGTCAGGAATCTGATGTTCAGTAGTTGTCGTTTGTTGATGTGGTTCATAAGTGTTTCTCGTTTCTCGTTTTTTATATAGATTAGACCGTTTGTTTTCCCGTTTGAATGGTTTTACACTAGTAATTTTTGGGGCCCTTTATAGCTTGCTGTTCGGTGTGAGCCAAGGCTCCGTGTTGAAGACCGTACTTTGACCTATAATGGTTTACTTTTATAAATTTTGACTTGGATGGAGAGTTGTCTCATTGGCACTCATACCACATCTTCTTATATCTATATAGTCGCAAGAAATACAATTGTACGCAGATTTATTCAACATTGTTGTATTCAAGAATATATATATATGAAATATGTCCGGACCTACATAATTCGAGATATCCATAAACTATTGGAGTTCCATAACTATATATTTCAGGACCTTTTAAATATTTATGGATCCCACAATTGTTTTAGGACATCCAAAATTTAATATCAGGATCTTGCATTACAAAATTTATGATATAATGGTTAATAAATTCACGAATTAAAAAATGCAGTTGGTTTTTCTGTTTAAAAAAAAGTAAAAAAAAAAAGTAATTGAAATTAACACTTTATATATCAATAAATTTCTCTAAAATTAACACTTTATCTTAAAACCTTAAACTAAAATCTGGAAACAATATCGGATTGAGCTCCTACACCATGCAAAAATCAAGAAAACCAACACCAACATACAGTCTCTTCATTCTCTACAAATTGACACACATGAACAATTATTTCATAATGTTGACGTAAGCAATTAAAGGATCGATCTTTTAATAGCGATTGGCATAGTTATTAGAAAAAAAACTTAAATTTCCTGTTAAGTTAAAATTTAGCTTTATCCTGAATACTGTCAAGGACTGAAACAGACCAAGTCAGATCATTTGCAGATTTTGTTAAGGATGGGGGATTTGGACTCAACGCTACGTGACTGACATTCGGTGTAATAATGTCCATCGGAAGTGTCACTGACACTGTCAATTATCAAGATCAAGATATACTGTTATGACCTAGCTGCGGAACCATAGCTCTTAATGCCTTATGATGTTTTTTTTACAATTTGCAGACCATAGATGAGCTACAGTTCCACAGCTACATCATGTCCATACTCATAAAAGAAAAACTAAATCAAGAAGGCGACATACAGCTCCAACCACAGACAGGGGTCTATTCAATATATTGAGCTCTTTTCTAATGGAGGTGTAAATGGTTTGAAAAATACGGGTAGACATCATTGAAACAGAACAGTTGCATGAAAACATGAGTATGATAGGATTTCCTGTAGTTTCATGCTATTTCCAACTCTATGATCTATCAAAAAAATTGGCCCCCTATTCAATATGGCTTCATTAACCTTGAAGTGGTCTATCGTCACAGGCAATTGTTATCTATCCATGGCAAGATCTACTATCCCTATATATTATGGATAGAAAACAAGTGCCTGTGCCTATCGTCCCAAGTCAATAAAATAATGAAGTTGTGAATAGATTTGTAAACAGAAACAATCACATGGGCTTGTATCAAATATGTTTTTTGGGTGGAAATATCTGCCAGTCGAATGGTATCAATTCATTATATAAAAACAATGAATAGCCTTAACAGTCATTGCTTGGTGGCAAAAGGGCAGTAATTGTATTTCAGAATTTTTTGTAACCATTTGCATTGAGGGACTAATTCCTGGTAGTCGTGCTTTCTCATGACAATCACCAAAAAAAAAATGACAGAAATGACTTTGGAAAATTTCTGGATCCTTGGACTGTGCTTGATGGTGTAAAATATTTCCAGAAATATCCATTAGTAATGATTAAGTAAGTTACAATTCCATTTGAGATGAAAATGACCTACTTCTTGTTACCTGTGTGGTCAAAGGTAGAAACAAGTCTAGTAATCTGATCGACTCTTTTGGTCTGTCTATCCATCTGTCCAAAGAAAACTTTCGTCAATGTTTTATTGCTTTCTTACCTTGCTTAAAGGGAATTATTTAATTGGTCTGCAGCTTGATAATGTTGAGTTGTAGAAAGTAAGCAATTTTATCCACTTCCTGTTTGCTAATGGTGTTAAATCAGTTTTAGATGCCCACAAATATCATCTTTTGTCAATTTAGGTCAAATATCATAAAAGTAAATTGTACAAAAAGAAAGTTACAACCAAAGACACAAAACAGCAAACAAAACATGGTCTAGATAGCCTTAAGTACTTAAAATTGTGGGGTTAGACTAGTATTATGTGGGCAAATAGGTATCTCATTTACCTATCAACACCATTTATTGTAAAAGTGAAAAACACTCAATAAAAATAGAGAAGCTGAAAATATCAAAGGCATACCAAATACATATAACTTGAACAGTTAGCTACCAACAGCATGATCAACAACTTGATCTTAGGCAATAAAAGATGACATCAAATTTTAAAGTAGGGTAAAAAAATATGCTTCCTATTAAGGGAGCTACATGTATTGTAGCTAGGCTAGCCAGAGCTCTGTCAAAAATTATCAAGCTGTTTATGTTATTATATATCTCTCTTTTTTTTCATGTCTTTTTTATTATTGTATTGTTTTACTTGTATTTTAGTGGACTTTTGTGATCGAGTGATCAAACAAAGATGCCTGGATTTCAGTGCCAGACTTGTAATGTTAGTTTAAATTCCCAGGAACAGTTAGGTCAACACAGGGCTGGTGCCAAGCACCTCAAGAAGATGAAAGAAAAAGGCATAGGTTTGGCACCAGGTATGAATTAAAGTGTAAACATGCTAAACAAGTATTCACCTGCAGTACACATAGAGTGACATTTTGTCTGTAATGGTGTTCATGGTGTTAGTGTGTTTAATTTCTATGGGAAATCATGCATGCAAGCAAAATAAAATGTTTGAAATTGTGGTCCAATTCTGAGATGGTTTCATGCATATTTCTTTTGATTTTACTCTAATGCAAGATTATATCTGAAATTTCAATTAAATTGCTCCAAGTGTAGAAAAAATGTGAGTAAATTTGAACATGTTGAAAGGAATGTAAAAAGTCTGCCATCAATTCAACATTTGTTAAAAGACGAGACCAAAAATCTTAGATAATAACAAATTGCAACCACTGAAGACAAACCTGACTTTGTACAGGCACAATAATATTTAGCTGGTTAAATAAGTGTTTAGAGATCTCAACCCTCCAAATTTTAAAATCTGTCAGTGGAATAGCAAAAGATACATAAAAGAACATTTAAAATCAGTGTAGGAAAAACACTTAAACTAATTTTTTTTCTCGGATTAGAAACTAAGAGATCTTATCCTGGCATATTTATGCCAATGAATCCCTTGCTTCATTAAAATTTTTATCATGTTTATATTTACAGTGGTTAAAAAATAGATGAAATCCAAGATACAGATTTAGCAAGTTTAGCTCTGAAATCAGGACCCTCAAAGTCAGTTTGACCTATTTAATTGAAATTGCCTTTACTTAATAAATGAAAGACAAGAATTTATTAAGCCATTCTTATCAATAGAACTGGCACTTTTATATATAACTTAAAAGCTGAATTTCCGGACAATTTTTGTTTTTTTTTATAACATTACCAGTCTGAATGTCCTGCAGCATTATATCCTTTAGATATATTACAAAATGTATTCACTAACAAAATAATTAGGGTATATTTATATTGTTTTCTGTCATACAGACATGGTAAAGTAATTTTTAGGTTGATTTACTTAAGTGATTATTGATTAATGATCAATATAGATCTGTATCTCTGAACATTTTTGAAAATAAAAATGAGAACTTCTAAATGCATTTTTCAGTTTAATGGATAATAAAATATGTTCCTGTACATTTTATTTCAGGGCAGTAGAATACAGAATCAACTTTAATAGTGTTTGGCTGTTTGATGGTATGCAATGGAATATTTCTTTTAAAACCTTTGGTATTCTGTAGTATTGAGGTGGAATTCTATATTTAATTAACGGAAAAGCTATTTAATGAAGATATTGAATTTAAATCTGATAATGACTTACAGAAAAGAAGATTGAATACAATCTGATTAAAATACATAAACTGTGTCCATGCTTAGCTTACAAGGATCAGACAATGCTCCATTCTACATTGTTTTATTAAAAGTACTTTCAGGATCCTTTGGTTTTCAGGTTGTGGTGATACATGTCTTAAAAAAAAAGTAGAACATAGTGTTGTCAGATCTTTGTAATAAATGGATGGACACCATGGGCACTGGATCTGTTTTTTAATCAGATTGATTACAATAATTCTGTTCTTGATATTTAAAGCATTCCAAGTTCAATGCAACTTTTTCAAAGGTTTTGAAATAGTCCATTGCTTTAGATAAAAAATGAAGTCTTTTTCAAATGATTAATTAAGAGTGATCATCATGATATTTATATAACTGTAAATTCAGAAATTGATGCATGCATTTATTATTGTGGATCTCTGTTTACTGGTAAAAAAAGTAATATATGTCATTAATGCCTCCAAAATTTTTGTGAAGGAAAATCACTTCTGAAATTTTGAACGCAAGTTTATATTATTGCAAACATGATGCTATTACATTGATAAAAGCATTGCAATAATTTCTGAATTTACAGTAATATGTTGATCTATGTCCTTATTCTTTATTTATACAAATTAACAGTTGGATTTCATATATATGACATGTTTGAGAAAGTGAATTCCAACAGATTTATTAAACAGAGGAATATTAGTTGTAAAAATGATTGAATTTCTGATATATTTGATGCTGGTTGATATACATGTAATACTGTGGATTCGTTATAATTTGTTGTTTACCAATTTTTGTGGATTTCGTGAGTATATAGATTAACTACTAATTTAAATGTTCAACGAAGTACAAATTTGCTTTTTGGTATGTATGCAGACGAAAATGCAATTTGTCCTTAAATCCACGATAATTGGTATCCAAGAAAATAGATTAATCCACAGAACACCATCAATATATATTTTCAGAGAAAGATGACTTGCCTGCTGTTGAACCTAAACTCTACGGAACTTTTGTTGCATCTAAACTGACTCCTGTAATAGGAAATGTTGGGAAGATAGACTTGAGTAACAAGCCTTTGTTTCCCCCTCCTCCTCCCCCACCTCCACCTCATCTGATGGCACAGAGTGCTCTGAAACAACCTCAGCCAATGGCACAGGTTGGACCTCCAACAACTAACATAAAGCCACAAGCTCCACCACCTCCACCTCACCTGATGCCAATGGGTGCACCACCACGACCCCCATCTCAACTATGTGCACCACTGAGACAAAAAAGATTCAGTGATGAACCACCAGACAATGGACAAACAGGAGCAATAGATCAGCAGACAGTTAATTCTCTTCAGGGAATCACTCCTGTGATGAAAGCTGTGGTGAATAATGCTCTAGGAAACCTTCCATTGAAGAGAAAGCTACACATCAGTAGATGTGATGCGTGTGATATTGAATTCAATGCAGAATCACAAGAAAGACAACATTATGATGGAAAGAAACATGCTAAAAGAATGAGGACCTTGGCATTAGAAAACAAACCAGGAGGTAATATAACTGAATTATCTCCCCTTTTGCACACCAAACCTAACTTTACCAACTAACCTCTCTATATATTTTATTCATACAAAGAGTTATCAATATAGATACTTGCATTAAAACTTGAGCATGCGATCCTAAATAAACTTCTAAACATTTTTTGTTATTTGGAGAATTTGGTTTAAGCAAAACTTTGATAGTTTCTATATTATATCATATTTCTGTTTTTTGTCGAGCCTTCGACTTTAGTCGAAAAAGCGAGACATAGCGATCCTACATTTCGGCGGCGGCGGCGGCGTCCACAAATATTCACTCTGTGGTTAAAGTTTTTGAAATTTTAATAACTTTCTTAAACTATCCTGGATTTGTACCAAATTTGGACAGAAGCTTGTTTATGATCAAAAGCTAGTATCTAGAAGGAAATTTTGTTAACATTTGTACCTGTTTATCCGTATATTACTTATAAATGGACTTAGTTTTTCTTCCAGTTAACATTCTGCAGTTAAAGTTTTTAAAACATTTATTAGATTCATAAACTATCCTGGATTTATACCAAACTTTGACAGAAGCTTCTTACAATCAAAAGATAGTATCTAAAGGAATATTTTTATTGATTTTTTTCCTCATTTTTGTTGAGCCTGCGATTAACAGAAAAAGTAGGCGAGACACTGGGTTCCGCGGAACCCTTACAAATTTTTTATGTTGTACATGTAAATGATTTGGAGCTTGACAAATTACATAGACACTCTGTCTTTTTTTTTTAAGCAGATTTTTATGGTCCCGCCATAGCGGTGGGGGCATTAAGATTTACCCTCGTCCGTTTGTACGTATGTACGTCCGTCCGTACGTCCCAAAATTGGTTTCCGTTCTCTAACTTGAGTTTGCCTCAACCAAATGTTATGAAACTTATACACAATGCTTTGTACCACAAAACACAGATCAAGTTTGAATTTTGGTGGCGTCACTTTAACTGTTCTAGAGTTATGTCCCTTTATAAATGGAAAAATAGCAAAATATTTAGTTTCTGTTCTATAACTTAAGTTTGCCTCAACTAAATGTTATGAAACTTATACACAATGCTTATTACCACAAAACACAGATCAAGTTTGAATTTTGGTGGCGTCACTTTTACTGTTATGCCCCTTTATAAATGAAAAATTGCAAAATTTTTATTTTCTTCTAAATATTAAGTAATTTTTAAAATTGGAGTTATCTTCCTTTGTCCATGATTATAGTTGAATCAACTACAATCAATGCTTTATACAATGCAATGTTTAAGTTTGACTTCCACTGATAAAACACAGATCAAGTTGAATTTGGGTAGTGTCACTTTAACCATTATTGAGTTATGCCCCTTTATAAATCGAAAGATTGCAAAATTTTTAGTTTCCATTCTGTAACTTAAGTTTGCCCCAACCAAACATTATGAAACCTATACACAATATTCATTACCACAAAACTAAGATCAAGTACAAATTTTTTGTTTCCGTTTTCTAACTTTAGTTTGCCTCAACCATATGCTATGAAACTTATACACAATGCTTATTACTACATAATACAGATTAAGTACGAAATTTGGTGGCGACACTTTTACCATTCTTGAGTTATGTCCATTTATAAACACAAAAATTGCTGAATTTTTCGTTTCCGTTCTCTAACTTTAGTTTGTCTCAACCAAATGTTATAAAACTTATACACAACCGTTCTAGAGTTATGCGTGTTTACAAATAGAAAAATTGCTGAATTTTTAGTTTCTGTTTTCTACTTAAGTTAGCCTCAACCAAATGTTATGAGACTTACACACAATGCTTATTACCACAAAACTCAGATCAAGTTCAAATTTGGTAGCGTCAATTTTACCGTTCTTCAGTTATGTCCCTTTATAACTATATGATATGCAAGCGGGGGGCATCAGCTGTGTCCACATATGGACACTATCCACATTTATTTTATTATTTGTAAGGTTGCTGTCAATTGCTGAATTAACCCATGTCAGTCCTGTCATTCTCAAATCACAAAGTTGTCATGCATTATTGTCATTATGCCTGCATATATTGATCAGACTTTTGGTAAATAAGTTTATAAGAGATGCGAAATATACCAAAGGGACATTCAGTATATAATTATCACTTTGAGATATTTTGATTTTAGTTCTTTTTGACCATATTTTGATGCTAAATTACATGAAAATTGTACTCGTGTGGACTTTTTTTGTAACGCCTGCAGATCTAAAGTTGATTTTTGGTACATCAGTGTATAATGATGAATTATACTATTGCAGATAGATATAAAAATTAAGAGATGTGGTATGATTGCCAATGAGACAACAATCCACCAAAGTTCAAATTAAGTGGATGTAAGCAATTATAGGCAACTGTATGGCCTTCAACAATGTTAAAAACCCATACAGTATAGTCGGCTATAAAAGGCCCAACATGAAAAATATGAAGCAATTCAATTGAGAAAACCATGAAAACTAACGGCCTAATTTATAACAAAACAATTTATGAAAAACAAATATGACAGACAACCACTGAAGAACAGGCTCCTGACTTGGGACAGGCACATAAAGAATGTGTTGGGGTTTAACATGTTTGTGAGTGCTCAACCCTCCCCTAACCTGGGACAGAGGTGTATCAGCACAACATAAGAACAAATTATAAAAATTAGTTAAAAAAGTGTATGCATTTAGTCTGGTTTGTCTACTTTTAATGAAATTTAAAATTGAAATTTTATTTGTAGTGTTGTTTTGTAATACTGATTGAATAACTTTTCTGTCCATTCAACAAATCCATAGTGAACTTCTATGCTTCGCCATATGAGTTACACAAAAAATGTGTGAATACAGTGTTGCCAGTGTATTCTGTTCAACACCTCACCAATCATATGTATTCACAGAAATGTACATTTAACAATCAGCCATTTTAGAATCTAAAGAACTGTGGGTAATTTCATTGTTTGTCGTACACCAAAATGAAAAAAAAAGTCACGTCATTGGTTTAATTTCCATTGTTTATGATGTTTTTAACCAATCATGACGCTGGGATGCAGGTGGGGAAATCTGTGTTGTAATGAGACACACAGTTAAAGTAGTAATGCTCATGAGATAGGGATGTTTACTTTTTTTTTACATGCCGTACATTAAATATTTGAAAACATATTAAGATATATATTTCTTTGAAAAAATTATGATTACATGCCTATTGTTGGATATTGGATAATAAACTATATTAATCTGTTGGTAAACTTGTAATTAATAATAGATTTATTAATTTTGTAAATTCATTTAGTTAATAATTTTGTGAATTAATTTCAGGTGAAGTATCGCCATCAGTACTACAAGCTAGTGGATTTACCTGTCAGTTTTGTGATGTACTGCTGAATTCATTGGAGCAGTTGGAACAACATAGATTTGGTAAGGAACTGTACTATAATATATATATATAGACTGTAAATAATGAAGTTTAACATGACGGGTGCCACATGTGGAGCAGGATCTGCTTACCCTTCCTAAGCACCTGAGATCACCTCTGTTTTTTTGGTGGGGTTCGTGTTGCTCAGTCGTAAGTGTTCTATGTTGTGATTTGTGTACTTTTTTTTGTCTTTTCATTGTTTTTTCATTTTTGCCATGGCTTTGTCAGTTTGTTTTTGACTTATGAGTTTTTGTATTTTTCACCTCTCTTTTAAATCAACAAATTCCCTATATAAACACAAAAAGCAGTTAAAACATGTTAGTTCCTAAGAAGTATTTACAGGACTGATAGGTTAATTTGTATATAAATCTACTGTTTCCATTGCCTGTAAAATGGAAAAATTTTATTAAACAAAAATGATGAAGGTAAGTATATATAAAGATTAGACTGTAGGAAATATTTTTAGGGGTGGAAGGATTTTTTTTTGGGACATCAGGATTAAGCCTGTTTTTTTGTGGGAATTCGAATTTAGGCCTTTATTTTCGCAGGAATTCAGGATTTACCCTTATTGACTCTGGAATTAATGATTAATTTTTCAGGATCCAGGAAAGAATGCTTTTTTTTTCTTCCAAAATTCGGGATGACATCCCTCCTAACCCCCTTCTAGATGTTTTTTTTTTTTAATTTCTACAAATTATATGACTGTATAAATAACATATTGATTATTATCTATATTAAAGACAGTCAACAGTTCACAAAATACCACACAGAAAACTAAAGATTTAACAACATCAACCAAAAACTAGGGGTGCAGATGATCCAGTCCCTGCTCCACTAGTTGGTACCATTTGTGTTATTCAGTTCAAGTAAATATCAGGTGATAAGTGGCACTGAATGATTTCAAAAAAGAGGAAGGGATCATGTCATGCAACAAGTGGAACAATTCATGGTCATCTGTAAAATGGAAAAAAAACACTTTATAAATTTCATGAGCAAAGCCAAGGGTACATAAGAACCAAAACAGATGAAGAGTTATTTTACCAAAATGGACCTAAAAATGATAGCCAAAATCTAACTTTATGACAAAAGTTAAATATATGTTCATTCTCTATTCATGTTAAATATATAGAACTAATTTTTACTAGTTATAAAGAAGGTGATCAGAACAAGGAGATTCACAATTCCTGTTTCTTATTTCACTTCAATACAAAAAGTCATTTTTTAATTGATATATTTTCCATTAAATCATAGATTAATTATATAGTTGTTAATGTTTTGATAGGCTCTAAACACCAGAAGAAAGTAGCTGCAGCAAAGACTAAAACACCTACTGGTTCAGAGGACAAAAGTCCACAGGAGAACGATCTCAGTGTATGACATTTCAGTCTTACAATCCAGAGCCATGTTATCTACTGGCAGAATAGACAAAGATTTAGATCTATAAAATTGCAGTATTATGTGATACTGTAAATTTAAGTATTATTAATGCAAAAAATGTGCCGGTATTGGGTTCGCAACAATAAAAACTTGCATTTATAATTTCAGTAGTGATTTACCTTCATTATATTTTTGCAATCACGTTAATTAGACTTTACATTTTTGCCAATAGTAAAGGATTTGCAATTGCAATAATAAATGCACGCAATAATTTCTGAATTTACAGTATTCAAATCTAAAAGTTTAGAGAGAGATCTTAGATATGATTGATTGATTGATTGTTGCTTGCAGTACTCTCTATAATATGAGAATGGTCTTAACATATTAAATCATTGTTATCTTTAATAATTTTGTTAACTTAGAAAAGTGTAACCTTCCAAAATCAGAAACATGTAAAAGATTGGGGAAATTTCTTTCAAACCATTGAAATGTTTAATGTTAAATAAATTGTGTGTAACAATCATATCCGGTAATGTTCAGAGGATACAAAATGTTTTGTTCAATGTCACATGGAATAATATCGATCAATCAAATATTCAATCACCTATCAATATTTACATTCAGTGGAAATATTTCATGTGTTTGTTTTTGACTCGCCTGTGACGAAAGTTGTGGAAAGCGAGACATAGGGATTGCTTTTCCAGCGACGGCAACTTCGACGATGATGACGGCGACAACAATTGTTAAGTTTTCTGCTTAAGTTAGTTTGATAGGAGCTACTTGTGATAGATCATTGATATTTTATAGAAAGTTGCATTACTATCATTACATATCAATTTGATGACTATTTTGAGGCCCTGCCCCCTGTGTCATGGTCCAGTGACTTTGAATTGATTAGCAATTTTCAATGTTAAGTTTCCTGCTTAAGTTAGTTTGATAGGATCTATTTGTAATACTGGTAGATCAATGATATTTTGTATGAAGTCACATTACTATCAGTACATTTCAGTTTGACGACTATTAACGAGGGTCTGCCCTAAGGACATGGTCCAGTACACTTTGAATTAATTAGCAATTTTCAATGTTTAGTTCTCTGCCTAAGTTATATTGATAGGAACTACTAACAATTAGACAACAATATTTTCTATAAAGTTACATTGCTGTCTGTATATCTCAGTTGTCAACCATTTTCTGGCCCTGCCCACTAGTTCATGGTCCAGCAACTGAAATAACAAGCAAGCAATGTTGCTGTCCATCAGATTGTCCTTTTCTGAATCTTATGCCAACAGGCGAGACATATCTCTGTGTCAACAGTTTCTTATTAATACGGTTGTGTATTGCACTAAGAATTATAATGTCACCTTTTATTTTTAAACAATATGAGTTTTTCTCATCACTTTGCGTCTGGCATCGTCATTAACTTTTACAAAACTCTTCTCGTCTGAAACTATGGCCCGAATTTAACTAGACTTGGGACACAATCATCATAAGGGTATCTTGTTTTAAAAAATATGTCTGATGACCCCCACCTGCTAACTAACATGGCCAACATGGCTAAAAAAAGATAGGGGTAAAATGCAAGTTTTTATACGACCGCAAAAAGAGTTTGTGGTCGTATATTGGTATGACAATGGCGTCTTCGTCGTCGTCCGAAGACACATTGGTTTTCGCACTCTAACTTTAGTTAAAGTGAATGGATCTCTATGAAATTTTACCACATGGTTCAATACCACAAAAGGAAGGTTGGGATTGAATTTGGGGGTTATGGTACCAACGGTTAAGGAATTAGGGGCCAAAAAGGGGCCAAAAATAAGCATTTTTGTAACTTCCAGACATAACTTGTGTGTTAGTGTATGGATCTCTCTGACATTGTACCACAAGGTTCCATATCACAAAGGGAATGCTGTGATTGATTTTGGGGGTAATTGCCTCAAAATTTTAGGAATAAGGGGCCAAAAAAGGGGCAAAAAACAAGTATTTTTCTAGTTTCACGATAAAAACTTGTGTGTAAGTGTATGGATCTTTCTGAAATTGTAATACAAGGTTCCATATCACAAAGGGAAATCTGGAATTGAGTTTGGGGGTAATTGCCCAAAACGTTTAGGAAAAAGGGGCCAAAAAGGGGCCGAAAATAAGCATTTTCTTAGTTTCCAGACAATAACTTGTGTTCAAGTGTACGGATCTCTCTGAAATTGTACTGCAAGGTACCATACCACAAAGGGAAGGCTGGGATTGAGTTTGGAGTGATGAATTATAAGGGGGTTCAAAAAATTTGAGGGAGGGTTTTTTTTATCTTTAAAATTTTCCATTTTAAATTGGTTATTTCTGATTTATATATAAAAGCAAATAATAATGATATGGTTTGAATAGGTAAATTTAAATTTTTTAAGTTATTAGACCACATTCATTCTGTGTCAGAAACCTATGCTGTGTCAAATATTTAATCACAATCCAAATTCAGTGCTGTATCAAGCTTGAATGTTGTGTCCATACTTGCCCCAACTGTTCAGGGTTCGACCTCTGTGGTTGTATCATGCTGCGTCCAGCGGAGCATTTTATTTCTATTAGCTTGAAAACCCCTATGACTGAAAAGGTTAGTTAACTCTTTATAGAGTGATTGCCCTTTCATGATGATTTTTATCAAAAAGTGGCCATTGTTGAAGATGCAGGTGAGCAACACAAACTCTTTAGAGCCTCTAGTTGGTTGACAGGACCATTAAGAATTTTGTATATATATAACTTGTCGATTCTGTTATGAGAAAGGATAAGTATAGGCATTGTGTCTGTTATCCAATCTATTTGATTTATTTTTCAATAAAATGTTTTAAATGAAATTCACTGAAGTGCTAAGCACAGTTATAAATAATGCGTTGTTGTGTTGTTCAGACACTTGTTGATGTTCAGACACTTGTTGAATACTCTTTTTTCTACATTTGAGTTCTTGGATTAATTATTACATAGATAATACAGCTAAAAGAATATTTTTTTTCAAAAAATATTTAGACATTCATACAAAAGTTGTATTCATACAATTGTGTATTATATCATGAACAGTATTTGTGAATCAAAGAGCAGTCTATGTCAAAAGCTTTTACACCTACCAGTACCGGCCCGAAAGCTCAGTTCAAGGTTGCACTTTGTAAATACAGCTGTTTCATAAACCAAGCCTCTTTTGCTGAGATATATAATATTCATAGATATTTTGTTTTGTTTACGTACTGGTTCCCAGATATGATCTTTATGTTTCATCTCATAGAGACATAACTTGGGAATGTTACCAGTTTTAATGCACAGGGTAGGCATTGGAATTGAATTCTGAGTAAGACGTGAAGTGAAGGGAGGGGTAGTGCAGAATTTTAGTATAAGTTTAAACTCTTAGAAGTTCATGGCATATAAATATTGAAAATATGCCGCACAGCCCTATGTTTTGACCTTTGAATAAAAAAGTAGTGCATATCAACTTTCCATTCTAGGGTATAATTTTTTAAGAAACTTCATAGTAAAAGTGGCACAGTTTTAGCCATAAAGGGAGGTCATATGGGAAATTGCATTGTCTATATTTACAGAAATGCAAGCTCAAGAAAACACCTCTATATGTCTAACCAATTTCAGAAAATTTTCATTAGCCTGAACCAATTTTAACTAGTCAAGGCCCTGGTTTGGTGCCTGTAGTTTTTAGCACAGACTATGAATGCATGTTAGTATGGGCTTTGCTCATTGTTGAAGGCTGTATGGTGACCTATAGTTGTTAATTTCTGTGCTATTTGGTCTCTTGTGGAGAGTTGTCTCATTGGCAATCATACCACATCTTATTTTTATATGTTATTCATACAAATGCAGTTTATTCTTTTGAATAAGTTTATTTAAACCATATATATTTACAAACTAAATATGCCTTGCTTAGTTATGGTTGGTCATTTTCAAATTTTGAAATCCTTTATCATGATAATGATTAAAATATTTATAAATCATAATTAAGGAAATATTAAATATGTATTAACTTAGATTTCATTCATTGTTTTACTTTGTCTGTCATCTTGTTTACTAAAAACCTTGTTACATGTACCATGGTATTTAACTTTTGTTACTATTGGGGGAAGAGATGTAAGATAAAAGTCGATATGGAATAGGTGTACTTTGAACAACAGTCCATGATGCACTAGAAATAACAAAAGAAAGTACAAAATTATAACATGAGGGACTGAATGGGGTCCTTGTTTCTTTATTATTTAATATTTTAGACTATTTTTTCTCTATTCTTTATTTTGACCATTATTCTCTATTCTTTATATTTTTATTTTAGCCTATTTTTCTTTATTCTTTTTTTGCCCTTTATTCTGCACTTTTTGTCTATTATTCTCTATTCTGTAATCCACATCCAGATGCTCCTACCTTGTACTGTCTTTTGTAAGTCCAATAATCGAGATTTTATTTTTATTCTCAACTTTTTAAAACTCTAGCCATGACTTTGACTGATCAATTAACCAAATACAATAAAATCAGGCACTGAAAATCCAGTGACTCTTGTGTTCTATTCTATCAATAGATATGAAAACAAAAATGTGGGAAATATGTCAATGAGGCGTCAACCCAACAACCCAAATATCAAAACGATATTTTAAGGTCATCATGCTTTGCTATATACAAATAAATATCTGTTATTTAGTTGCATCAGTAAATAATTATGTCTCTTAGGCTATCTAGAAAGAATGAAACAGAGGTTATATGACAACAGGGGGGTCTCTAAATAATAAAGTGTACAGTACTATCTTATTTAAATATTATAAAATTAAGAATATTCATACTGGTCTAAAGAAATAAGATTAGATACGTTGATCAAGTACACCATATACAATCAATATTCATTTTATGATGTTTGAATGGCAGAGTTTTGCAGCATAAGAAAAGATTAGAAAAATTTATTTTGATTCAGCATAAGTCAAATATACAACAGAAGCTCTAAGGAGCTTTCGACAGAATACCATTTGTTCCTTGTAAAAGCCTACAAGAATCACATCGCATCATCCATTAATGATGCATACTTTTTAAATCTTGAACAAGGATTTTAATATTTAAATCCTTACTAAACATTGTAAAAATAATGCATGGATATAGTCTAATCAATAAATAAATTGTCATTTTGATCCATCGTCCTAAACATGTACGAAATAATTGTTACTGGACTTTAAACAGGCAACAATTAATTATTTTGTTCCGATCGGATGGAAACCATGACCATCTGAGGCAATCTTTGATTCTGATCGGCCAATTTTCAAAAACTTCTATGCAACCAAAAAGCGGAAATGTCACTATTGAAACTAAGGGGTGATGACAGGATGATTCGTTATAAACGATCATCATTTCATGTTTTCTTAGGGTGAATAGTTACACATAATTCCCACTGAAACCCCTATAAAAAATACCATTTTAGTCATCTCTTGAACTACTTTGTAAATTTAACCAGAGACATATGCATTGTATTATATGTCTCTGATTAAACCAAGCTTAAGGAATGAAGTAAAGATTCTGGAAATCCAGATTTTGCTTCTGCAGACGGTTCCATACAATTTGTTTCAATTTGGAGGCTCAAATATATTGTATAGACAAATGTAAAGCAAGCAACAACAATTCAAGGATTTGTATAGTATACTAGACAAATCTTGAACAAATCAATCAAAGGTACACAGACACGATTAGGGTCGAGTCAAAATAGCTACGAGAAAATTTGATTGATTGAGCGACGAGGTTTTTTTATTAACGACCTTGACTACTCACGAGGGTCTCACACGGTCGGGTATAGATTGAGCTCCATATGTTCTGCCTTTTACAGCTCTTCTATAAAAGCATGCAAAGCAAACCTTTGATCAACTTGCTTGCTATGTTTGTTTGGATGTTTGTTAACAAAAGGTAGGTAGTCTGTTTCAGTCTGTTTACTATATAATGGAATTTGATTGGACAATAAATATTAACTTCATTGCATGTCAATTTTTATTGTCCAATCAAATCCCAGTATATATAAAACAGACTGAAACTCCGCCTACCTATTGTTTGCAAACATCCAAGCAAACATAGCAAGCAAGTCGATCAATGGAATAACCGTTTCACAGATGATATCGGATATGTTCCTTATGTCGTAACTACAATACCCTTCCCTTTTCACGAATGTGACTTACCGAATTAGACTATTTACCGGATTTGTAATAACATAAGCAACTC